ACGTCGAGCTCCACCCGCGCGCCCCGCAACTCGCGGAGCAGCGCCAGAGCCCGCTGCCACTGCCCGCCCTTCTCGCACGCGCTGATCCCGGCGCTGTAGCTGACTAGGGCGAACCCGTGGACTTCGTCCGCGTCATCTTGGGCCAGTCTTGGCTTGTAAAGGCCGTCTTTGGCCTGTCTTCGCTCGAAATGGCGAGAAGGTGGAAATCTTTCAGAAGCCATCGAAGAATCAATGATTTCGTTTGCCGCGGCTCGTCTGGGGCGTCTTCGAGCGGTCTTGGGCCGTCTCGGAGGCCCTCTTGGACCGCTTCCTTCTCTTCGTCCGCCTTCCGCTCTACCTCCGCCAAGACAGCCTTCGGAGCGTCACAGACGGCTGTGGTGGGTCTGCGGTGTACGTCTCGCCGCTTGTCATTTTTGAAAGCACCTGGGGCCTTGAATTAAGTCACCCGGAGGGCTCTGGTGACTTTTTTCCGGTTGCCTCTTCGAAGCCTGATGGCGGGCGCTGCCGTCTCCTTGGGAACGGTTAGTGGGCCTCTCGGGGTTTCTTTTCGAGCTCCTGGGGGCCTGTTGGGGCCTCGTTGGCTGTCTTGCGGTCCTCTTGGGGCCTCTTGGGGCCCTCTTGGGCCGTCTTGCGGCCTCCTGGGGGCCTTCTCTCTTGAAGGTTTTTTGGGCGCCTCTGGGGCCGTTCCCGGGCTGCCCCCCCGAGCCTCTTCCCGGGGACAGCCCAGGAAATCTATTGTGCTTGCGTGCTGTGCGTGCGTGCTCCTGTGTGAAAGGTCGGAAGGGTGTCCCGACGTCACCGCTCGCTCTTGGGAGCTGTGCCTGGGAGAGCTCTCTACGCTGCGGCTCGCTCTTGGGAGCCTTGGTAAGGAGAGCTTTGTACTTCACCGATTGCTCTTTTAGTGGGCGTCTCTGGGCCTGCTTGGTGGTCCTTGTGGGGGTCTTTTTCGGACCATTCTGAAGCTTTTTTGGGCTGCTCTGGGAGCGTTTTGGGGCGTCTTGGGGCCTGAGGCCGTCTTGGGAGCCTCTTGGGGCCCCCTCGGAGCTCTCTTGGGGCCGTCTTGGGGTTCTGTGAGGCCGTTTCAGGGCTCTCTGGCGTCGTGTGGGCCGTCTTGGAGCCCTCTTAGGGGCCGCTGGCGTCTTCTTGGGGCAATTTGGGAGGCCTCTTGGCGTGTCCTGGGTCGCTGAGGTGCACACAAGGCGGGCATGCTGAAAATGTACGTTTTGTGCCTCTTTGGCGTGCGCTCGGGGACCTCTTGGGGCGTCTTTGCGGCCTCTTGGGTCGTCGTGGAGCCCCCCCCCGGAAGGCTTCGGGCCCTCGCGGGCCGCCTCGGGACCCACTGAGGCCGTCTTGGAGAGCTCTTGGACGGTCTGGGAACCCCTCTGGAGCGCCTCTTGGACCGGCCTGAGCGATTCGGCCCCGTGGTGGCGCCGTAAAGGGGCGATTTTGTCCACTTGAGGCCCTGGGCTTCTCGCGCGTGCTTCCACCGGCCATGTAGGAGAGACTAGGCTGACCCGTGGACTACGTCCACTTGCGGGGTGAAGGGGTGCTGCCGCAAGGCGATCAGGATGAATGCCGTCACGTTCGCCTGCCACACATCGCTGAGCGAGGAGACGGAGGAGCGTCTGGACGCCCCACCTGGGGCGCTCAAGGCGAGTTGGGTCCGACCTTCTCGGGGCGTTCTGGGGCCGTCTGGGGGCCCTCTGAGGGGCGTCTGCTGGATGTCTCCTGGAAGGTCTCTTCGGGGGCCAGGTGCGTCTTGGGGGCCTCTAGGAGCTCTTAGGGGCCCTGTCGGGCAGCTTCTGGAGCCGGCTCCGGCCGTTTTGGGCTCCGTCGAAGGACGTCTCGGGCCGAGGTGGGACGTCTTGGGGCGCTCTAGGGCCGCCAGGGGCCCGCGGGCAGTGCCGAAGCCGCTCAGGGCAAGCCGCTCAGGGCAGCCTTGGGAGGCCTGAGGAAGTGATTGGCCCAGAGGCCCTTCCCGCACGCACGTGGACTCTGCACTGATCGTCTTGGCGTCATAGCGTCGGAGACTCTGCGCAGAGTGCAGGGACGCCGCACAGGTCGGGACCCTTGGGCGCTCTCGGGGTCAGCCGAGGTCCTGCTCCGGGCCCGCGTGAGGCCCTCTCGGGAGCGTGGGCCCTCCTGGCGCTGCCGGGGCTTCGACGGGGGGCTTCGGGGCGGCACTCTCTTGGGCTTCGGGGACAGTCAGCGGGGAGGAGGAGGAGGAGGAGGAGGAGGAGGAGGAAGAGGAGGAGGAGGAGGAGGAGGAGGAGGAGGAGGAGGAAGAGGAGGAGGAGGACCCTGGTTGGGGCGGCAGTGGGCCACGCCGGAGCCGCCTCGCGGCCTGGCTCGGAGGCCAGGCAGGGGCAGAGCTGGGCGGCCCTGGGAGCGTCGGGGGCCCTAAGTGGAGCGTCTTGGGGGCCGCCTCGGCGCTGCCCGGAGCCTGTGGGGCCCCTCCAGGGGCGTGCTTGCGAGAACGGACGGAGGATGTGATAACCGGCGGAACACAATACTGGCTGCCATGACTTCGGTCTTCGTGGAGGGTCTCCGCGGATCCTCCCGAGGCCTTGCGGAAGTGTCTGGCGGCCATCTGAAAGCCCCTGGGGCGTCTGGGGGCCGACATGTGCCGTGTGGAAGCCTGTTGGGCCATCTTGGAGCCCATTCGCGGAACACTTGGACCATCTGAGGGCGCCCCCATGGGTCTCATCGGCATTGATTCGGGTCCCTCTGGGGCTGTCTGTGGGGCGGCTGGGCCGATCTTGCTCCTTCGTGGACGGCGGTGCTGCTAGCCGAACTCGGGCGCGATACACCTGATTTGGTAGAGGAGATGACGTTTGGCTCAAAGTTCGCCGCCCGCATTTCGCTCAGTAGCGCCAGAGCCTGCTGCCACTGCCCGCCTTTCCCGACAGCGCTCATCCCAGCGCTGTAAGTAATCACGTTGGGCCTCAACTTTGCCGCTCTCATCTCTCTGAGCAGCGCCAGGGCCCGCTGCCACTGCTTAGCTTTCTCGCACGCGTTCATCCCAACGTTGTAGCTGACAAGGGCTGACCCGCAGGCCACTGCCCACGAGTGCCAGTGGTCAGAGTGCGCTTGCTGCTGCTCATTGCTTAAGGGTGCGCTGTTTGCTTGATGATTCTGACGGCGTCCAGAGCCGCGCTAGCGCAGCAGATCCAGGGTCATGGGCAGTAACAGCAGCAGCAGCTCCAGCAGCAATGCTGCTCCAGTATCAGCGGCAGCAGCTTCATCAGCAACGGCAGGAGCGCCTGTGGCAGAGGAGGAGAGCGACGATGGGGAGGAGAAGGATGAGGCCCAAAATCATTGGACAGCAACCGAACCACACATCTCTTAAGACACGCTTGGCGCGGGAAGGGTCGCAGAAGTAGCGTTCCCGGGAGTCCGCGGCTGGATGGGACAGCCATTTTCTGCACCCCCTCCCGCTCCAGACGTGTCCCAAGAGTTGTTTTTTTTTTTTTTTTTTTTTTTTTTTGTTTTTTTTTTTTTTTGTGTTTTGTATTTTTTTTTGTTTCCAATCATCTGGTGCTTTCTAAGAGCCAATCGGAGCCGTGTGGAGGGAGCTGCTGGAGGCCATCTGGGAGCCTGTGGGGCGTGGTTTGTTCCAACTAGCTGGGGCAATGTAGCAGCATGCCAGAACTGTTTCGAGGAAGCTGTGGCGGGCTGTCTGGGAACCGCTGGGGAGTGTCCTGGAGGCCGTCTGGGAGCCTCTGGGAGCTTTTTGGGGGCTTGCTGCTGACCGCCGTGTGTGTGTGTGTGTGTGTGTGTGTGTGTGTGTGTGTGTGTGTGTGTGTGTGTGTGTGTGTGTGTGTGTGGGGGCGTGTGTGTGGGGGCGGGATGGGGGGGTGGGTCGCTCCAGGGTTGGCCCTGTTGGGCCTCCCTGGGGCCGCCTTGGGGGGCTGTTCGGCCGTCTTGGGAGTCCCTGGGGCCGTCTTGAGGGTCTCTGGGGCCGTCGTAGTGGCTCTGTTGAGAGCTCCCTGGGTGCCCATCCAGACGTTTCGGAAGGCCTCTAGATGTGGGCTGGGCGCCCTTTGGCCAGAGGAGCGATCGCAAGAGGAAGCATGATAACAACACGAAAGTATCGACAGTTTTCCGTCCTCGTGGCCCTATCGGAAGCCACATGGGAGCCATTGAAGGGGCCCCAGGACACACAAATGAATACACACAAATAAAAATATCCCCCATATTTCCCCACATCTTCTGGGTTTTTGTCCTCCCCCCCACCTCCCCTATCTTCCCCTATCTTCCTGGGAATCGACGATGAATCGTGTCTGTGTTTTTCTTTTTTCCCTCCGGAGCCACGTGGAACCTGCTGGGGGCCTTCATCGGGCCGTCTGGGCGCCCTCTGGCGCTGCAGAAAGGGGTCGCTCACGAGGGGCCTCTCGGGGCACTCGCGGGGCCCCCTCGTGGCAGGCCGTCGGCGCCGGAGCGGAGCCTCGGAGGCGCCGCGCAGGGGGAGGGGGGGCAATGGCCACCGGGCCACGCTGGCACGCGCGGTGTCTGGGACTGTAGAGTCTAGGGGGCAAACAAACCTACCTCGCTTTTGACCACCCTCGCTTCCAAGAGATACCAAACGAGGCCAAATTGAAGCCTGTACTGGTCAGGCTGCTTGACGAGGGGGCGCGTGGTATGGCTTGGTTTTGCCTGGAAGCGAAAGCGGGGTAGGTAATTCACGCTCTGAGGTACAGGGGACTCGGAAATCCCCGACGAGGTCGTCAAAAAAGTGACGAGGCCGAGCCTGCATTCTGACGAGGCCTCCCGCTGCAGACATCCCACGAAACTCCTCCTCGTCAAAATCCGAGGCGCGGTCGTCAAAAAACAATGGCAAACCCGAGTCCTGGCAAACCCGGGTCTTACGCTCCCGATAGAGGTGGTGATAACGTCGAGCTCCAGCTTCGCACTGCGCATCTCGCTGAAGGCTGCCAGCGCCTGCTGCCACTGCTCGCTGAACCCGCAGGCGCTGGTCACTGCAGTGCAAGTTCTGATGCCGGGCTCGAGCTTCACCTCCCGCATCTCGCTGAGCAGCGCTAGAGCCCGCTGCCATTGCTCGCCTTTCTCGCACGCGCTGATCCCAGCGTTGTAGCTAATGACGCTTGGCTCAACCTTCGTCTCCCGCATTTTGCTCAGCAACATCAAGGCCCGCTGCCACTGCCCGCCTTTCTCGCACGCGCTGATCCCGGCATTGTAGCTGACTAAGGCTGATCCGCGGCTTTCCGGCCGCGGAATCTGCCCGCCATGGCGTGGACGTGGAAGTGGAGCGTCTCTGGGGCCTCGCGGGTAAGGGGGGGTGGAGGGGACGGCGTGGAATGAGGAGATGGCCGCTGGCTGGAGGTGGAGGCGAGCGAGGGATACAGGCAAGCAGGCCTGAAGGCAGGAACGCGGTGGTGGAGGCGGTGCCAGTGGAAGCACCTCATGTAGGCATGACATGGTGTGGCCAGAAGCTGTTTCTGACGCCGCAGTCTGTGTTCATCATAGTTTCTGCGGGGAGGGTAGCCGTGAGAAGTTATCTGCTCTTCGCCGGGGCCGATAGGTAATTTTATCTCATACTCTGGAGACGATGGGACCAGCGGGCGCGGCCTAGGAAATCCACCACCGTGCCCGTGCCTGGGTAATGGCTCAGAAGCCTCTGGGGTCCCTCTTGGAGGCAGCTTCGGGGCCTCTTGGGGGCCGTCTTGGGGCCTCGTGGGGCTTGCTTTGGGTTTCTTGGGGGCCTCTGCGGACCTCTTAGCGTTCCCTTGGGGGGGTCTTGGGGCCTTGTGTGGGCGTATGGGGGCCCAGGGCTCGGAATTTCAGGGTTTCCCCGTTCTTTGGCCCCCTCTTTGGCCTGGCTTGGGGTCCTTTGGGGCCGTCTTGGGCGCCTCTTGGGTTATCTTGGGGCTCCCTGGGCCGTCTGGGGACGCGCTTGGAGGCCTGTTGGGCAGCTCTGGGGCGGTCTTGTGGGTCTCTTCGGCCATCTTGGAGCGTCGGCTAGACGAGAAGGCGAGAAGACACAACTCCTTCAAAAACCATTGAAATCGGAGGTGATGGGGGTGAGATCGAAGTGGAACGGAGAGTCCCACTACCGGGAAATCGGTTTCGGTTTCGTGTTCGTGCGTGCCGTGCGTGCGGGCGAGGCGAAGCTGCGTGGGCGGGCGAGAAGAAAGTCTCCTCTGGCTGAGGCGCGGCCGGACCAAATGTGTCCTTTCCGGGGGCCGGTGGGGCGCGGTGTCCCGCCGGTGTCCCGCCTCCGGCTGAGGCGCGGCTGGACCAAATGCTTCCTTTCCGGGGGCCGGTGGGGCGCGGTGTCCCGCCGGTGTCCCGTCGGTGTCCCGATGATGATGATGCTGCTGCTGATGATGATGATGATGATGATGATGATGATGTCGATGATGTTGATGATGATGATGATGATGGTGATGGTGGTGATGATGGTGTCCCGATGATGATGATGATGATGCTGATAATGATGATGTTGGCCATGGTGGTGATGATGATGGTGTCACGATGATGATGTTGATGATGCTGATACTTCTGATGATGATAATGATGGTGTCCCGATGATGATGATGATGATGATGATGATGATGATGATGATGATGATGATGATGATGATGATGATGATGATGTTGATGATCCTGATGATGTTGATGATGATGAAATGATGACATGGTGATGCTGATGAGGAGGATGAGGATGATGCTGGTGTCCCGATGATGATGGTGATGATGAGGTTGATGATGGCCATGGTGATGATGATGGTGATGATCATGATGATGATGTCCCGATGATGATGATGATGATGGTGATGACGATGATGGTGTCCCGATGATGGTGATAATGATGAGGTGATGTGTATTTCGATGATGGTGGTCCGATGATGAGGATGCCGATATTGGTGATGATGATGGTGTCCCGATGATGGTTATGGTGATGATGGTGACGATGATGACGGTGTCCCGATGATGATGATGATGTTGATGGTGATGATGTTGCTGATGATGAGAATGGTGTCCCGATGCGGATGGTGTTGATGATGTTGTTCATGATGATGATGATGAGATGACGATGATGGTGGTGTTCCGATGCTGATGATGATGTTGTCCCGATGATGATGATGATGTTGATGATGATGGTGACGATGATGGTGTCCCGATGGTGATGGTGATGATGCTGCTGTTGGTGAGGATGGTGATGCGGTGATGATGCAGATGGTGTCGCGATGATGATGATGATGATGATGATGATGATGATGATGATGATGATGATGATGTTGATGACGTTGGTGACGATGTTGTTGATGATGATGATGATGACGTTGATTGTGAGATCGATTGTGATATCGATAGTAAGATCGATAGTAAGACCGAATGTGAGATCGATAGTGGTATCGCTTGTGAGATCGATAGTCAGACCGATTGTGAAATCGATCGAATGACATAGATCGAGTGAGATCGATTGTGAGATCGATCGGGTGATATCGATCGGGCGAGACCGATAGTGAGACCGATCGAGTGAGACGTTGGTTCCTCCCCCCCCGAACCTCCTTATCACCCGAAGGGTGGTCGTATAGGTATTAAAGATTTTGGCCTCTGGGGGCATGCTTCGGAGGACTGTGGGAGGCTCTTGGAGGCCTCTTGGGCCTTGTTGGGGGCCTCTAGGGGGCCTCGTGGACGCTCTTTGGAGCCTCTTATGGCCACTTCGGCGCGTCTTTGGGCGGAGGGCTCGGTGTGTGACGCTCGGGGGCCAGGATCTGCGTGAGGGGTGTCGAAAAATGGCCCTCCAGGGGGCGCATATATCCACATGCGCTGGGGCGTCTTGGAGCGTCGGCTAGCCGAGAAGGCGAGAAGACAAAGCTCCTTCAAACACAATGGACAAATCACGGATTTTGGCCTCTGGGGGCATGCTTCGGAGGACTGCTGGAAGCTTTTGGAGGCCTCTTGGGCCTTGTTGGAGGCCTCAAGGGGGCCTCTTGGGCGCTCCTTGGGGCCTCTTATGGCCACTTCGGCGCGTCTTTGGGCGGAGGGCTCGATTTGCGACGCTCGGGGGCCAGGATCTGCGTGGGGGGTGTCGAAAAGTGGCCCTCCAAGGGACGCATTTATCCACATGCGCTGGGGCTCCCTGGGCCGTCTGGGGACGCGCTTGGACGCCTGCTGGGCCGTCCTGGGGCGGTCTTGTGGGTCTCTTCGGCCTTCTTGGAGCGTCGGCTAGCCAAGACGGCGAGAAGGCAAAACTCCTGCAAAAACACTGGAACAATAAAGGATTTTGGCCTCTGGGGGCATGCTTCGGAGGACTGTTGGAGGCTCTTGGAGGCCTCTTGGGCCTTGTTGGGGGCCTCTAGGAGGCCTCGTGGACGCTCTTTGGAGCCTCTTATGGCCACTTCGGCGCGTCTTTGGGCGGAGGGCTCGATGTGTGACGCTCGGGGGCCAGGATCTGCGTGAGGGGTGTCGAAAAATGGCAGTCCAGGGGGCGCGTTGGTCCACATGCGCTGTTTTGCCCTTCTGGCACGCGCTGATGTCCTCCATAAAGAGACTAGTGTGTACCCGTGGAGCAAATCCGCAGGTGCCCTGGCAAGGAAATGCGGCAGGGCGATCTCTGGGCTATCTTGGGCCGTCTCGGGCGCCTCTTGGGCCGTCTTGGGGCTTTCCATGAGCTGTCTTGCATCTCTCTTGGGCAATCTTGTAGCCGAGGGTTCTGGGAGCACCCAAAGGACCTCGAAAATTGCCCCAAGAGGGGCTCGAGAGGGGCCAAAGGGGGCCTCCAGAAAGCTTCCCACGGATGCTACACCAAAGGGGTGCGTTGTAGCATCCGTTGGGGGGCTTCTCTGGGCTCTCTTGGAGCGCTCTTGGGGGCCGTCTTGGGACGCCCCTGGGCTGGGGCTCCAGTTGTTGTTGTTGTTGTTGTTGTTGTTGTTGTTGTTGTTGTTGTTGGGGGGTATGCACGCCCGGACGGCGGCCCCCGTCCACCTCACAGGACTAGGGAGGCGCACGAAGAAAACCGTATAGGTGGGGGGATACCAAAAGAGACCGAGGGGGGCCGGTACAGGGAGAGGGGCCCCAAAGGCGGGAGGGGGAGGAGTGAGAGGGGGGAGACGATGAGACCCTGGATGCAAAAAAACGGATGACCGACAACCCTGGTATGTGGCGGGAACAAGACAAAGACGAGGTGCGAACCTGAAAGGATGCACGCGTAGAGGGCATGGCATACATATTTGGACAGCGCCAGACACAATAATTATTCACTGCGTGGAGCTCCCCATATGTGCATCTATTCGCATGGACCTGTCCGCCGCGAATGTCTACTTAGGAGTGCTGAAGCCACAGAATGACTGACTGACTGTTCTTCCGGCGCGGTCCGCCAATAACAAGAACCCCATACTTAGGATATGGGGAACAAGAACCCCATACTTAGGATATGTGGAACAAATGCTCGACGGTCCGTGACTTGCGCTCAAAAAGACACAATATCCAATTACCTTGCACGGATGCCACTGTAGGATGGGGACATAGAGGGAAAGAGAGAGAGAGAGAGAGGGAGAGAGAGAGAGAGAGAGAGAGACAGGGAAAGAGGGACAGAGAGACCAACAGAGAGAGCGACGGGGAGAGAGGGACAGACACATACAGGGATATCCTCAAGGGGCGATGGTTTCTGCGTGGTCGCCCCCAGACTATTTTCTGAAGATTCCCCCTGTAGGGGGACATGCCCGACTCGACACTGGCGCTGGTCCCCATCTCGGGAGCGGCCAAGAGGGGGGTGTCCAAGAGGGGGGGGTGCAAATCGTGGCCGGCGGCATGTGCGCGGCCCAGCGGGGGGGCCGGGAACGTCATGAGATAAGAGGAGGCGCCCTGAGATCTGGGGAAAAATCATGGCCTGCGCCATGATATCCACCCCCCCCTAGTCATCACCCCCCTCTTCTCCGCCCCCGACCATCACGCGCCTCCCGCACGCGGCTCGAACGCGGCCTCCCCGGCAGCGCCGCCGAGGCCGGATCGAATCTCCTCCTCGCGCGCGCCCCTCCCGGAAGGTGTGCGCTCTGGTCAGGAGGGAAAGAAACACACAGACACAATTAATCGGCGATTCCCCAGAAAATATGGGAACATATGGGGAATCTGTCTATTTGTGTGTATTTATTTGTGTGTCCCAGGGCCCCTTCATCTGGATGACGCCGGGCTCCGCCTTCGCCCCCCGCATCTGTCCGAGCAGCGACAGGGCCTGCTGCCACTGCGCGCCTTTCTCGCACGCGCTGATCCCAGCGCTGTAGCTGACGACTGGTGCGAGCCCGTGGATGAAATCCACGGTGTGCCGAACCTGGGGCTCGCACGCCGTGGGTGAACAGCTCGTCGACATTGAGCAGCTCGGGCGTCCATGGGGCCGTGCCGGGGGCGGGCATGCTGGGCCCTCCTGCGAGCCTGTCTGGGGAGTCTTGACGGCCTCCTGCGGTTTTGGGCGCCTTTGGGGCCGTTCCCGGGCTGTTCCGCAGAACCTCTTCTGGGGGACAGCCCGGGAAACATACTTTGCGTGCGTGCTGTGAAGTCGCTGTCAGAAGGCCCCCCCTGTCACCCCTGAGGTTAGCTGCAGGGCATGCTGCAGGCTCAGGAAGCCCGGGCTGGAGGCTGTCTTCGAATATCCTAGGGGGGTCTGCGCCATCTCGGAGTGGTCCAGGGAGGGAGGGCTTCACCCGACCGTCGGGGGGGAGCGAGATGCTGGTCCCCGCAGTGTCTGCAGGTCCCCCCCCCTGGTCACTCCTCATCGGCCGCAGACGGGGAGCGACCGAAGCGGCTGCAGGTCCAGAGCGTTCAGAGGGAAGGAGTAAGAGAACAGCGGAGAAGGTCTCCCCTGTCACCCTCAATCGGCCGTGGGGGCGGAGGTCTTGAGGGCAACTCTGGGCCATCTCGGAGTGGTCCTTGGATCGCCCTTGGGAGCTCCGCGGGAGCTATGGGAGTCTGTTCCTGGGACCGCTCTTGGGAGCTTCGTGGGAACTGTCGGAGTCTCTTGGCAAGCGTCGGAGCTGTGTGGGCGACTCTGGGGTATCTCGGAGTGGTTCTGGGATCGCTCTTGGGAGCTCAGTGGGACCTATCGGAATCTCCTGGGAGGCTCTGGGGCATCTCGGAGTGATCTGGGGCCTGCCTTGGGGGTCTGGGGCTTTCTTGGGGGCGTTTGGGGTTCGAGAGACGGCGAAAGGGTGCCGTGGCTCGAGGCACTTTCCTTGGGAGCTCCTCGGGAACCATCAGAGTCTCTTGGGAGACTCTGGGGTGTGTAGGGGTGGTCCTTGGAGGGTTCTTGGCCCGTTGGGGGCTGTGGGAAGGGAGTCGTCTGGGCTCCCTTCGGCCCCTCTTCGAGCCCTCGTGGGGGTCTCTCCGGAGCCTCTAAGGGCTCTCTTGGTCCACATCGGGGCTTTCTTGGACCATCTCGGGGGCTTCTTGGGCCGTCCTGGGGCCATGTAGGACATCTCGGGCCGTTTTGGAGCTCGGTTTGGTGCCTGTTGTGCAGCTCCTAAGGCCCTCTTGGGGGTGTCTCGGGGGCCACCGGGGGCTCAATGAGGCTGTCTTGGATTTCTCCTGGGCAATCTTCGGGCTCTCTGGGGCTGTCTGGGGGGGCACTTGGCGGGGCCTCCTGGACTGTCTTGGGGCGATCTGGGATGGCCTTGGAGCCGTCTGGGCCGTTCTTGGTCCGAAATTGCGCGAATATGGAATGCCTTCAAAAACTCAAGGCGCATCTATGATTTTGGCCTCGGGGGACCGTCATCGGGGTCCAGTTCAGCCGTTTTCGGAAGCACCTGGCCCGTCGTCGTGCCGTCTTGGGCTGTCATCGGGCTCCGTTCGGGTCCTCTTGGGCCGTCCTCGCGCGCTCTGGAGCGTCTCAGAGCTGTTTGGGCTGTCAGAGGCCGTCTTGGAGCCACCGACGGGTTCTCTGGAGCCGTCGGAGAGCGCTGGGGCGCTTCGGGCGCTCGGGGGCAGCTTTTTCACTATAGCCGATTTTCGCACGCGCCACGCCCAGAATCGTAGTACAAGTAACGTCGGGCTCTAAATTCGAATTCCGCATGTCACTCAGCAACGACAGGGCTTGCTGCCATTGCCCACCTCTCACGCACACGCTGATCCCAGTATTGTAGCTGATGACGTTGGGCTTCAGCTTTCCTTCCCGCATCTCCATGATCAGCAACAGAGCGTACTGCACCTGCTCACCTTTCTCGCACGCGCTGATCCCTGCGTTGTAACTGAGTAGAGCTGGCCTATGGACTTACGTCCTCGAGTCTGCTTGTATGCTCACCTGATTGCGTGGCTGCTAGCCTGCTGGCCTGACACCTTTCTTGCCCGCATGCCTGTTTGCGAGCTGGGTTGCCTCCTTCATTGCTTGCTCGTTCGCTCGCGGCCGCTTACTTCCGCTTGGTGCTGCTTCCTGTTACTCTGCTGTTTGCTAATTCTTGTCGGAGCGTCTGCTGCCTGTTTGCTTGTCCGTGCTCCTGCTTGTTGAGGCTTGGTGCCGCTGCTAGCTGCTTTTCACTGCTGCTGGTTGTGTTCGTAAGTGCTGCTGCTTGCTGATGCCTGTCGCTGCTTCCAGTCTGCTGCTGCCTCCTCCTGCTGCTTGCTCATGGCTGCTGCTGCCCTTGGTGCCAACGGATCTGCGGGCCGTGCTGACGTTCTCGCGGGCCGCAACGGGGGCATGCGAGGGCCCTCCTAGAGCTCTCCGACAGACGTTCGGGCCGTCGCGGCGTCCTCGGGGGGCCCTGTCGGGCCGTCGGGAGGCTCTCACAAGCCGTCCTGGGCCCTCCAGTAGCGCTCTGGGCCCTTTCTGGGGCCCTCTTTGGGCCAACTTTGTTGTTGTTGTTGTTGTTGTTGTTGTTGTTGCTGTTGTTGTTGTTGCTGTTGTTGCTGTTGTTGTTGTTGCTGTTGCTGTTGCTGTTGCCGTTGTTGCTGTTACTGTTGCTGTTGCTGTTGCTGTTGCTGTTGCTGTTGCTGTTGCTGTTGCTGTTGCTGTTGCTGCTGCTGCTGCTGTTGTTGTTGTTGCTGTTGCTGTTGCTGTTGCTGTTGCTGTTGCTGTTGTTGTTGTTGTTGTTGTTGTTGTTGTTGTTGAACATTATTAATTCTAAAGAATAATTATTGTTGGGCCCCCTGGTGCGCGCCCCCCCCGCCGCGCCTAGGCCGCAGCCACGTTTTCATCATTTTCGTGAGGAAGCCTCAGGTAATTCGAGTTGATCAAGATCCGGTTGTTTTGTTGTAATCCGTTTTCCCTTGCAAAAAACACTATAAAATGACATTTCTTGTTCTAATATAATCAAATTTCAAGAATCCCTTGCAAAAAATAAGGTAAAGTGGACATTCGCGCGCGCAAGACGAAATCCTTCCAAAAGCTTAGTGTTCGGAGCGATTTTAACATAAAAACATCAAAAAACCAATGGTTTTTCAACAAAAAAATGTCAAAATCTCATCCCGCGCGCTCTTGCGGATTCGTAGGAAACCCAACACTTTTTAAACATTTCTGTCAAACGGGCTTTTGCGAGCAACTTTTTCGAACTTCTGCGACAACGGTTGCGCACCTGCCAGGGCCATCATCCCTGTCAAATAATACCATGCGGGACACATTCGTTTTTTCTTCGCGCGCGCACGCCGAAATCTCCAAAAACCATTGGGTTCTGTGGGTGTGTACCCCACGCCAGTGTAGTAGCCACGGTCGTCCGCACGCCACGAAGTGAAGTGTCCCAACGTCATAGGGCGGGAAGCTGGGTTTGGGTGGTCGCGAAGAGTCGTTTGGATATTTGGTAGAGCTTGTAATGCCCCCCCACGAAGTGGGGGTATTGCCTGGTGTCGTATGAAAACCCTGGCACTGGGGAGAACACCACGCGTTCGGGTAAAATGATTGTTGTTGTTGTTGTTGTTGTTGTTGTTGTTGTTGTTGTTTGTTGGTTTTTCAGCCGCACCTCTCCCAGAGCATCGCGAGCCTCCTCTGAAGCATCTGCAGCTGCCCTGCAGGGCACGGGGGCGCTGCACGGCCTCGAGGCACCCCGCCGGCGAGACGCCCGGCCAGAGTGGCACGGAGCAGAGCGCGCGCCTCCGAGCGAGACGAACCGAGCTGAGACCAGGTCAGACTACCGTCAGGTCGGGCCTGTCCCCCTACAGGAGGACTTTGTGCGAACAATAAAAAATACAGTCGGGGCGTTGACCTAAGGAACCCCAAATAAGGAACGAGGCCCCTTTTTTCCACAAGCGAACCTTAGATTTCCTGTCGAAAACATAAGGAAAGCCTGAGGCAAGCTGTGAAACACTTAAGGAACGCGAAGCCCCTCCCCAACGAAAAGGGTTCCTTCTTCAGGGCCCCGACTGTACCCCACAAAAATTCCCAAGATGTGCAAACATAGTAAAAAATGGAGCCCAGACTAGTATTTTCTTTTGGACTATTTTTGAATATTCCTCCAGCAGAGGGAGAGGCCCGACTTAAGACTAAGAGAGGACTCTCCTTTTGGGGGGGCCATCCTGGGAGCTTCCTGGGGCGCTCTCTGGGACCCCCTCGGGATTGTCTTGCCCAGACCCCCGACGTCGTGATTTTTCCGCAGCGTCGACCCCCAGAGCTCTGGACCGCTTCCCCGGGACCAGTCTTCCATCCCGAGCCGTTTCTTGACGGCCCCGAGGCCGGGGACGGGCCCCAGGAGGCCGAGAGCAGCGCAGAACCCTCCCGCCGTGTCGTCTCCACAGCGCGAGGATGTCTGGGTGGAGGCGCGCCAGGCGACCCCGAGGCCGTGCGAGGCAGTGTCGGGGCAGCGCGGCGGCGAGGAGGAGGAGGAGGAGGAGGAGGAGGAGGAGGAGGAGGAGGAGGAGGAGGAGGAGGAGGAGGAGGAGGAGGAGGAGGGAGGAGGGGGAGGAGGAGGAGGAGGAGGAGGAGGAGGAGGAGGAGGAGGAGGAGGAGGAGGAGGAGGAGGAGGAGGAGGGGGAGGCGCGAAGCTCCTCGGGCCTGCCGGCAGGAACGCCTCGCGCGCCTCGCGGGGCCTCTCGGTGGTCGCAGGCCCGGAGCCTCGGGCGCCCGCGGGAGGCCGCGCCGAGCAGGTCCAGCAGCTCGCGGAGCTGGGCAGGCGCGCTCCACTACAGTCGGGGCGTTGACCTAAGGAACCCTAAATAAAGGAACGAGGCCCCTTTTTTTCCAGAAGTTCAACCTCGATTTCCCATGGGAAACTTAAGGAACATCTTAGGCAAGCTGCGAAACAAATGAGGAGTACCGAGCCCCTCCCCAACGAAAAGGGTTCCTTCTTCAGCGCCCCGATTGTACTCGCGAAGCAGCTGCTCGCACATGGCCTGGATCCGCCGCGGGGGGGGTCTCTGCTATAGGCTACCAAGAGGAGGGCCTTTGCTGTTTTTTGCTGGCGTCTGCGAGGAGGCACCTTCGCGAGCAGTGGCGCGCGCTCGGCGAGGAGCGCCCTGCTGCGGCGCGGCCGGCGAGCGGCCTCCAGGGCGGGCCGGAGCAGAATACGGCGAGTTTTTTTTTTTTTTTTTTTTTTTTTTTTTTTTTTTTTTTTTTTTTTTTTTTTTTTTTTTTTTTTTTTTTTTTTATTATAAATATATATGTTTTTATTGTTTTTAGTATAATCATAATATTAAAACTATACAGAAATAGAAACACAAAACACAACAAACTCTTCGCAGGCGCAAGCGCCCTTGTCAAATTCAGACATGCTTGGCGCGGGCGGGGCTCCCAGGGGCAAGCCACTCATGGCCATGGCTCGCTCCCGTGGGGTCCACGGCCCCCGCGCCCTAACGCCGCGCGCTCGGCGCGGGCCTCACGGCCACGGCGAGGGCAGTGGAGAAGGAGCCATTGGATAAGGAATCCAGGGGCTGGAAGCGGGTGGAACTTCAACCGGGGCTTGGCGATGGATGTCACTGCCACCCTCATCAGAATGAGGAATCCCCCAAGGTCTGAAGCCTCCTGGGCACACTCCTGAACCAACGCCCCCACCGTATGTGCTGCTCGCGCGGGGCTGGCCCCTGTAATCAAGTAGTATTCGCTGATGACGCCGCGCTCCAACTTTACCTCCCACATCTCGCTGAGCAAGGTCAGAGCCCGCTGCCACTGTCTGCCTTTCTCGCACGCGCTGATCCCAGCGCTGTAGCTGACTGGGGGACCGGCGATGAGCCTTGCGCGCAAGCTCTGACTCACATGGGTGTGTGTGTGGCGTACAGCGCACGTCCTGGACCGCAGCGCATTTGGGGAAACTCGTTCGCGACGTGGCACGGCTGACGCAACATGACGCGACACATCATCTTAGAGTCTCAGCGGCGAAACCTGATCGTGGCACGGCCCAGCAGAAGCAAAGGTACAACCTTGCATCACAACCATCAAAGAGGACACAACTCTTCACAACCCGACGAAACGGACACCACACAGCACAACACAGCAGACTCTGTGAGAAGACACACGTCGGCGGCACCAGGATCCTGGCCGAGCCGCTAGGCTTGCTCCCGCCGACTTGGGGCCCGTGGACAACCGTGCACGCCAGAATGCTCGCTCGCAGAGGCGCATGCTACAGCGGACGCGGCACTACGCGCAACACCCCGGAGGACAAGCTCGCCCGCGGCGCGGCTCTGCGGAGACACGCAGGATGATGCAAAACTTTGAGCAGGGACCGACCGTCCCGTCACTCCTATACCCATCGGTCGGAAGAAGTAGGTAGAAACATGAAGTAGGAAGGCGTTGGAAATAGATTGGGTTTCCGCCCGCCTCCTGAAGAGGAGGGGAGAGGGAACACCACTCGACTCTTGAAGTAGGAAGGCGCTGAAAGTAGATTGGAATATGGGAATCCAAAAATACCTACTTTCAACGACCGATGGGTAGGCCTACCACGAAGTCTTCCTAGAACCCCCCAAATGTTCTAAGAACAACAGCAAGGTCCTCAGAACATCAGCCCGATGTGCTAAAACAGGCCAGCCCCAGCCAGAATCCACGGGGCTCAACTCGCTCGCGGCACGGCACGGCTGATGCAGCCCAGCACGGTAGAGCACGACACCTGGGCGGCTGCTCGGGCACCACACAGTGCCCGCACGGCCCCGTGCCCCGCCGCCTCTCGCGGCCGCTCGCTCTGCCGGTGCTCTCTGCTGCCCGACTGCCGCCGCCGGAAGCTGCTGCTCGATGCCTGCTGCTGCGTGCCGCTTGCTGCTGCTCGTCGCTGCTGCATTCCGACCCCGCGCGCCTCGGCTGCCCGCTACCGCCACGTGCCGACCCCGTGAACACTGCTGCTGGCCCTGCTTCCGCAGCTGCCGGCTCTGCTGCTGCTGCTGCTGCTGGAAGATCCCGGGGCCTCTGGAGCCGCCTTGGAGCCCTTCCCGGCCGGCTGTGGCGCCCCTTGACAACCCTCCCGGGGTTGCTCGGCCCAGACACCCCCGGGTCATCAGCAAAAAGCATGACGGAACATTTGGATCGTTTTCGGCCCCTCGGGGCCCTTCCCAAGCCCCAGGACGGTCAAATACCCACTCAGGATGTGGAGCCAGTCCCGAGAAGCGGTCCAGACCTTCGGGGATGGACAGGAACCCTTTAGCAAAACATGGTTCAGTGAAAACGACCTCGGGCCAAAACCTGGCGGGCGCAAACCTGGAAAATGACGGCCGCGGCGTCCTTTCGAGAACCGAAAAAGGAGAATTCACTGATCGACGTGTCAGGGTGGGGGCTTTGTCCCCCCCCGAACCTGTGTGGGCCCACACGATGGAACACATGATGGAGGTGCCTCGTGGCCCTCTTGGTCCGTATCGCGGGCGTCTCGGGGCCTTCGGGAACCAGAAAGGGGCCTTCCAGGGCGCTCCCGGGCCGCCCTGGCGGCTTCCGGGGGCGTGCTGGGGCGCTCGTGGGCCCCTTGAGGGGGGGCGCTTTGGGGCCCCGTCGGGGCTGCGTCAAGCTGTCTCGGGCGTGAAGCTGCCCAAGAACATTCTATGGGACTGTGAAAAAGCTGAACATCAAGTATAATCACTATGCTTGCCGCGGCTTGCGCCATTTTGGGCATCTGCTGGACCCGCCTTGTGCATCCTGTTGAACGATGTGTGACCCTGTGGGGTGACCCTGTGGGGCGTCTTGAAACATCTTTGGCCGTCTGCAGAAGCTACTAGATCCGTCTGGAACCGCCTTCGAAGAGATTTGGGCGCCCAGTGGAGTGCATATGGCCCTCGGAGGCCCTTAGGGACATGCTCGGTGATGGTGCCCCTCACGCACGCAGGGGGTCGAGAGTTGCAGAGATGATGACGCTGGGCTCCACTTTCGCCTCACACATCTCGCTGAGCAGCGCCAGAGCCCGCTGCCACTGCTCGCCCTTTTCGCACGCGCTGATCCCAGCGCTGTAGGAGAGAAGACAAGTGTGTACCCGTGGAGCAAATTCGCATGTGCCCTGGCAGGGGAACGCGGCGACCCATCTCTGGGCCATCTTGGGTCGTCTTGGGTGCCTCTTGGGCCAGAGGCCGCCCCGGGAGGACCTCGAAAATTGCCCCCAGTGGCACTCGGGAGGCCTTTGGGGGCAGCCCAGGGAGCCGGAACCATGTGACCCAAACCCCCCGACGTCACGATTGTTTCATTACGTCGCTCGCTGAAGGTCTCAACCCATTCCCCAGGACCGGTTTTTCATCCTGAGTCGATTCGTGACGGTCCCGAGGGCCGGTAAGGGCCCCCAAAAGGCCGACAATAGCCAAAAACCTCCCGTCATGATTTTTTCGTTGCCCGAGGGGATCCGAGGAGGAAAAAGGGTCGCATTTCCTCACACGGTTCCGGCTTCCAAGCGTGGGGCCGTCAAGGGCCCTAGGCCGCCCCGGGAGGACGTGGCACCTTGGAGGCCGCCTGGCCCAGCCTGGGGCCGTCTTGGGGCGGCCATCTCGGGCCGTCCAGGTGCTCTCTGGAGCCGCGTTGGGACCCTCTTCCGAGGCCTCTTGGCCCGGCCTGGGGCGATCCTGGGAGCTGTTGGGCCGTCGTGGGCGCTGCAGGGGCCCCCAAAGTCGGGTATGCTCGACATGTTCGAGGACCTGTCAGAAAGCACAATATATTTTTGCACCGGAAGGCCCTGTTGAGCTTACTCTTGCAGCGCTCTGGGAGCTTTCTGGAAGGAGTTGCGGCCGTCTGGAAGCCGTCTTGGGCAGTCTTGTGCCGTCTGAGGCTGTCAGGACGCCATCGTGGGCATCTTCGGCGAACCTCGAGGCCTCTTGGACTCGCTTGGGGCGTCTGGGAAGCGCAGGCCCTCCCGGCGGGCCCTCCCGGCATGCCCCCCCGGGCGCTGCCTCCAGAGCAACGCACCGCGCGCTGCTCCCGGTATTGTAAAATAGATTACGGTGATGGCATTGGATAAGGGAACCTTCGATAAGTAATCCAAGGTCTGGAAGGCAGTGGAAAGCCAATCGTGGATTGGCAATGGATATCACCGCCGCCCTCATCAGATAAGGAGCCCTCCAGGGTCTGAAGCCTCCTGGGACGTTCCTTAACGAACGCCCCCGCCGTAGTGTGAGCCCGTGGATTTCATCCACGGTGTGCTGAACCTGGGACTCGCACACCGTGGGCGAACAGCTCGTCGAAGTTGAACGGTTGTCTCTGGGGCACTGTCGGGGTCATGTTGGGTCCTCCAGCGTGTTTGTCTGGGGTATCTTGGAGACATCTTGCGGTATTTTGGGCGCCTCAGTGGCCGTTCCTGGGCTGTCCCCCAAAGCCTCTCTGAGGATCAGCCCAGGAAGCCTATTGTAGAACCGCCTTGCTGGGGCGTCCGTGGGGCTCTGAAGGCTCTCTGGGGACTCTCTTGGGGCCTTCTTGGAGGAAACTTGGGACCGTCTTCGGGCGCTCTGAGGCCATCTGGGGTGCCTTTTGGGCCATCCAAAGCTTCTCCTGGGAGTCTCTTGGGCAGTTTCGACACGATATGGGAGACGCTGGGGGCTGTCTGGAGCCATTCTTGGGGAAAAGCGTAGAGAACCTGAAAATCCATTGAATATCTGAAGGGGGAGCGATTTTGGTCGCGTGGAGCCAGCATCGGGGTCCTCCTGGGCCGCCGTGGGAGGTCTTCTGGCGTGTCTTGGGGCACTAGCCTTGGACCATTCGGAAGCTCGCTTCGGGCTCCCTGGCGACTTCCTGGCGCTCTGGAACGTCTCTGGGCCGTCGTTGGACGTCTTGAGGCGGTCTGGCGGCCGCGCAGGGCCGTCCAGGGCCGCCGACCTCGGCTATTGTAGTATAGCAGATGGCGTCGGGCTCCAGCCTCGCCTCCCGCATCTCGGTCAGCATCGCCAGAGCCCGCTGCCACTGCTCGCCCTTCTCGCACGCGCTGATCCCAGCATTGCAGCTGATTGGTGTGAACCCGTGGGTTCAATCCAGGGTGTGCTGAACCTGCGAGTCGCACATCGTGGGTGAACAGCTCTTCAAAGTTGAGCAGCTCGGGCGTCCCTGGGGCCGTGTTGGGGGTATGTGGGGCCCTCCTGCGACCTGCCTGGGGCGGCTTGAAGGCCTCTTGCGGTTTTTGGGCGCCTCTGGGGCCGTTCCCAGGCTGTCCCCCAGAGCCTCTTCTGGGGGGACAACCCAAGAAACCTATTGTGCGTGAGTGCCGTGAGGTGGCTGTCAGAAAGCTCCCGTGAGAGGACGGACGGGCCCCGGACGGACGCTACTACAAAGGGGTGCGCTGTGACATCCGTCGGGGCTCGCTCCGGAAGGCCCGAAGACGGCCGAAGCAGGGTCCAAGAGGGGCCCCGTGCGGCCCTCCAGAGAACACCCGAAGCAGGGTCCGTTGTTCTCCGTCCCCTCATGGAAGCTTTCTGGGGCCTCCTCGGGCCCTCTTGGGCCACTCCTTGTGCGTCTTGGGGGGGCCACCTGAAACTCGAGTAGGCCGTCGGGGCCTCTTGGGCCATCGTGAGGCGATCGCCCGCGCGGGGCCGTTCTGGGCCGTCGTGGCGGGAGTGTGGGAAACCTGGGAAAACACAAGGTGTTTGCTAGAATTTTGGGCTCGTGGGTCCGTCTTCGGAGTCCTCGTGGGCGCTCTTGGGCCGTACTGGGGGCCCCATTGTGCCACCTTCGGGGCATGATGGGGATTTGGGGCTGTCTGGGCAGCTCCTGGAGCGTCTCGGAGGGCAACCTGAAGCTCTGTGAGGCTATCTGTGGGCTGTTCTGGGCCGTC